CTAGCAACGTCAGCCATCACGATACAGTATTAACTAGCAACGTCAGCTATCACGATACAGTATTAACTAGCAACGTCAGCTATCACGGTACAGTATTAACTAGCAACGTCAGCCATCACGATACAGTATCAACTAGCAACGTCAGCCATCACGATACAGTATCAACTAGCAACGTCAGCTATCACGATACAGTATTAACTAGCAACGTCAGCCATCACGATACAGTATCAACTAGCAACGTCAGCTATCACGATACAGTATTAACCAGCAACGTCAGCCATCACGATACAGTATTAACTAGCAACGTCAGCCATCACGATACAGTATTAACTAGCAACGTCAGCCATCACGATACAGTATCAACTAGCAACGTCAGCTATCACGATACAGTATTAACTAGCAACGTCAGCCATCACGATACAGTATCAACTAGCAACGTCAGCTATCACGATACAGTATTAACTAGCAACGTCAGCCATCACGATACATATTAACTAGCAACGTCAGCCATCACGATACAGTATTAACTAGCAACGTCAGCCATCACGATACAGTATTAACTAGCAACGTCAGTTATAGCGGTGTCAGCTAGCAACGTCAGCCCCAACAAGCAGTCTCAACTACTGTACGCGGCGCTGATAATAGAAATGTCAGCTGGCGATGGGGAAATTGAATGAAGATGTCAGCTATCAATGTCAGCTGAGGGACGCTGGGCTGACTACACCATTACAAGACAAACAATCAAGGAAGTAGAGAGAGAGAAAAAAGAGAGAGAGAGAGAGAGAGGACAGGGGGTGTGACAATCGACTCAGCCTCTGTTTACCTGGGCGGGTCGTGACTGCTAATGACCTGCTCTCACCTTGTTGGCTTAATCAACTAGCAAACGTGTGCCTGTGCTGGCGAAGATGTGCCTGGGGAGGTACTGATCGTGTAAAGAGGTTAGGTTAGGTTAATTGTATAAATGAAGTGAGGCGTCTTTAAGTAAGGGTTCAATTTGTAGCTTAGGTGTGATGGATGGTTGACAAGGCAGGTGTGTGTGTGTGTGTGTGTGTGTGTGTGTGTGTGTCTGTGTGTGTGTGTGTGTGTGTGTCTGTGTGTGTGTGTGTGTGTGTGTGTGTGTGTGTGTGTGTGTGTGTGTGTGTGTGCTATAGAAATGCGCTAGTACGGTGTTTGTCTAGGTATAAAGGGATGATAATTTCATTAGATAGATAGACAGATAGATAGATAGATAGATAGATAGATAGATAGATAGATAGATAGACAGATAGATAGATAGACAGATATATATTTAATTTTTCGAAGTGGCTTAACCAACTAAGACTCTACCTCCAGAGAGAGAGAGAGAGAGAGAGAGAGAGTCAACCAGAAGGCCCTCAGAATCTCAAGTACTTAATTACATCCTAAGTTAAATGGCTCATTAACCTCATTAAGTCATCGCTAATTGTCTTTTAATTAACTTTCAATGGCTATAACTTCATCTCCAAGTCATTATTTTTGTCATTTTCATAACTATTATTATTTTTGACTAATTACCGATTCCTTCCCTCTGTTATATATCTCAAAACAAGTGACAGTCAGGTAAAACAAGTGACAGTCAGGTAAAACAAGTGACAGTCGCAAAAAACAAGTGACAGTCAGGTAAAACAAGTGACAGTCAGGTAAAACAAGTGACAGTCGGTAAAAACAAGTGACAGTCAGGTAAAACAAGTGACAGTTTAAACAAGGACATCAAAAACAAGTGACAGTCAGGTAAAAACAAGTGACAGTCAGGTAAAACAAGTGACAGTCAGGTAAAACAAGGACAGTCAGGTAAAACAAGTGACAGTCAGGTAAAACAAGTGACAGTCAAAAACAAGTGACAGTCGGTAAAAACAAGTGACAGTCGGCTATAAACGACAGTCGGTAAAACATGACAGTCGAAACAAGTGACAGTCGGTAAACGACAGTCGGTTATAACACGTGACAGTTTATAACATGACAGTCGGGACAGTCGTTATAAACGACAGGTTATAACACGTGACAATGGTTATAACACGTGACAGTCGGTTATAACACGTGACAGTCGGTTATAACAACACAGTCGGTTATAACACGTGACAGTCGGTTATAACACGTGACAATCGGTTATAACACGTGACAGTCGGTTATAACACGACAATCGGTTATAACACGTGACAGTCAGTAAAACAAGGACAGCCGGTAAAACAAGGACAGTCAGGTAAAACAAGTGACAGTCAGGTAAAACAAGTGACAGTCAGTAAAACAAGTGACAGTCAGGTAAAACAAGTGACAGTCGGTAAAACAAGTGACAGTCAGTAAAAAGTGACAGTCAGGTAAAACAAGTGACAGTCGGAAAACAAGTGACAGTCAGTAAAAAGAGACAGTCGGTAAAAAAAGGACAGTCGTAAACACGACATGTAAAACAAGTGACAGTCGGTAAAACAAGTAGTCGTATAACACGTGACAGTCGGTTATAACACGACAGTCGGTTATAACACGTGACAGTCGGTTATAACATGACAGTATAACACGTGACAGTCGGTTATAACACGACAGTCGGTTATAACACGTGACAGTCGGTTATAACACGACAATCGGTTATAACACGTGACAGTCGGTTATAACACGTGACAGTCGGTAATAAGTGACAGTCGGTATAACACGTGACAGTCGGTTATAACACGTGACACGGTTATAAACGACAGGTTATAACACGACCGGTTATAAACGTGACAGTCGTTATAAAGACAGCGTTATAACAGACAGTCGGTTATAACACGTGACAGTCGGTTATAACACGTGACAGTCGGTTATAACACGTGACAGTCGGTTATAACACGTGACAGTCGGTTATAACACGTGACAGTCGGTTATAACACGTGACAGTCAGTAAAAACAAGTGACAGTCGGTTATAACACGTGACAGTCGGTTATAACACGTGACAGTCGGTTATAACACGTGACAATCGGTTATAACACGTGACAATCGGTTAAATGAGAAGAAAAAGCGAACGAATTATTGTGGGAATTGTGTGAGCCAGTCAACATATTTATCTCATTAAATTACGACAGTTATAAATTACGTTCATTCTCGCATCTTCAGTTACGAGAAAAAAATTAACTTACGACCCCTTGAGAATAATGACCTTGGATAAATACAAACAGGTGATCCATCATAGCTAACTCTTGTTGACCCGTAAACAAGGTAGACAAAGTTTGAAGTCATCATCCATCACCGCTCTCCCTCCCTCTCTCTTGCTTTCTCTCCCTCTCACTCTCGCTGACTCTCACTCCCTCTCTCTCTCTGGCCCTCTTTCCTTCTCCCTTTGTTACTCTCTTTATCTCTACTCTCCCCTAATTCTCCCTCACTCTCGCTGCCTCTCCCTCACTCCCACTGTCTCTCCTTCACCTAACCTACTGAATAATAACAATATAAAATTACATTGTATAATTTAAATAACTCTATCTAATTAAAACAGAACCCAAAAAATAAATAACGTCCGTGGTGGTAAGATTGTAAGGGTTAGCCATCTTAAACATTGGTATGCAGAGGAAGGGAACGCGCGAGGCCGGGAGTTGTGGTTTTCTATGATAAGACAAGAACGGAAATGAAAAGCTAAGCGAGGCAACACAAGCGTGAACTGATATCTCCCAACTTCCTCGGGTGAAAATGGTGCTGGGTGTTACTGAGCTGCACTGACGCTAAGTTTTGTTTGAGATTGATAGACTTGGACGCTATCTGGAGCATGGCCGAGTTCATATCCGCTTACTGAGGGAGGCTGGGCTAGGGAAGGTTACCACAGCCGGAGCATATTCTCAAATGTTCCTACTATATTCTCGTAAATTAAAATGCTCCTAACTGGTTAATTTAACAAACACAATCATTTAAAATTAACAAACATAAATAACAGACAAAAGTAACATACAGAAACTAACCCAGGATTATTTTAACTAATTTACAGATAAGCAATTAGCGTATCTGGTCAATTTAACACGAATATAACATTGGGTCGGGTTAGGTTAGTGTTTGGATGGTTAATCTTTAGGTGAAATAAACTGGGGTGGAGCTTCTTCAGGTGATCACATATTCACTAAACTATCATAGATAATCTTATGTTAATTTTGTCTCCTAACTGATGCTATGTGAACGTATCTAGTTAACATAATATAAGTACACTACTGTTATATATATATTAACCCAGTTTTAAACGTCTTTATGTTAAATTAACCTGTGAAATACATTCCTATATCATCACTTACAAGAAATATTCATCCTACAAGGAATATTCATCCTCCCAGAATATTCATCCAAGGAAGATTCATCCTACAAGGAATATTCATCCTCCAAGAATATTCATCCTACAACGAATATTCACATCACAAGCCTTTACAACCCAACCCTAAACTGCCTTTCTCACTTCTCTCAATACAACGATTTTTTTATAAGGAAAACTAAACACTACACCACTCTGGGCTCTGAACTCTGGTAGGGGAGTACCCAGGTAATGTCTTTGAGGTGCTTATAAACTTTTATTAAGTCACCCATTGTGTTTTGCAGTTAACACATCAATATTTTAAGGGCTAGCAGCAATTACCTGAAGCAGCTCACCATTGCAAACCCAGGGTGCTGGCCCAGAGAATGCAGCAGAGTATTGGACTTACTTTTAGGAACACTTTGAATGTTTATGAATACCAGCCCAGGTGACCCAGTTGCCATCAGGAAAGTTAAAGCAATTTTATAGCTGGATGTCCTAGTTAATGCCAACTCACAGGGTGGGAACAGCTATCAAATCAGGGTCACAACTACCCAAAGTATTCAATGACTATCCACCTACTAGGCAATTGTGGGTGTGGGCTCCAGTTTGGTGGTGGCTCTGAACATTCTCAATCAATTGGCAATTTTTGGTATAGCTTGACGACCAAACAGAATTACAGTACACTAAAAAAAATGTCTTAAACTTTTAAGACAAGGACCATCTGTGTGTAGGAATATCTTCTTATAAAATTGTGCTGGTTTATTAGTCAAATTTATTTCTTCTTACATGTCCACAGATCTTCAATTCACGTCACCATAAACACATAATATGACTTTTATTTAGTTCAGTTAGGAAGTGTTTTCAACAGATTGAGGTAAGTGGTAGGCTACCATACTATTTCTGTAGTACTTGAAGCTGATAGGTCATCCTGTAATGCATCAGTCCAGTACACTGTAGTACTTCCTCTAAAAGTATTACATTTCAACAAACATTTGCTTAAACGAGCAAATAGCACCTGGTTGTCCTTATGAAAAAGACAAATGGAACATTGCTCATAACAGTCTCTCTCTCTCTCATCAATATTCCGATTTCCTTATCATTAACATCATCATCTTCATTGTCTTTATCATTATCATAAAAGCAGAAGAAAGAACAGCTAGGTATACAGTAAATGTAATTTACTCACTTTATTCATTGTTCTTAAACACTTATCATATCACACCTATGTCCAAGTTTTCCACTAACATAGCACTTTCTAAAGGACCGGGAAGAATGTCAGCCATGTATGGTGAAAATATTTCAAAGTTTAGTCTCATCAACTGTGCTGCGTCACCTTCTCCCCTATATTCAGTCACACTTGGGAACCTAACCCCATTTCCCACTGAATCTAGGAAGCCACATTTGCAAATTCTGTATTCCTGTACAGTATTCACAAGTTTCCAGGAAGGTAAACAGTACAGTATTTGGTAACCAGCATTACTAATAGAAAGGTGCAGCGGCTAAGTGGATGCAGCACTCGCCTCCTGTTCTAAGAGTCAGTAGTTTGATTCCTGATGTAAATGGGTACCCGACTTACAAGTTAGGGAAGGAGTGTAGTGTCAGCCATGCTGCCTCCTTGTGTACTTAGGACTTACTATTATAAGGGTGTGTTGTATTCACACTATCCCTAATGGGCCTTCATTACTAATGGCCTTTTTTAAAACATGTTATTATCCTCAGAGGTTATCATTTTATAACTCTCCTCATTCTCTACTTCATCTTTCTTTATCATGTCAAAGGCATAATAACTAACCAAGGATTAACCTCATAACTCCTTGTCAAAATAAAGATATACTGTGTATCCATACAACAAGAAAATTTCAAGTGGCCATACTGCTACCATGTAGCGTTGGTATCTTAGCCTCCATCCAAGCTGTGAGCTTGGTAGCACAAGAGGCAGTGGGAGGGCTGTTCTCACAGCTCTGCTGTCTCGTGCTGGTGATAAGATTTCCAGATGGCAATGCAGTATTTTTATCTATTCTTTTATTTATTCCTAACAATTACTGGTAGAGTATAGTATATTATTTTATGTACAACAAATAGCTTCTTCCACACACAAACCTCTGGTGGAAGTGATGTACATCAACTGCTTAGCCTGGCAGTCACTGAGGACGGGTAGAACCTCCCATTCATCCCACATGTTACCCCCTCCCGTAAGGTAATCTACCAGAGTTAAACAGTACTTTATAAACTTTTTCCCTGTGTTAGATAGTAAACTAGAGTAGCTGTGTACTATTTATCATTAGTTAGGCAAGTTTTGTTATTGTTTGTGAATCAATTTCATGTTATTGGGGCATGATATTGAAGTACTGTATTTTTTCAATGGGGAAACAAACCCTATTTCTCCCATATGTTTTTATATTTGGTACAAAAATTCACCTAACGAATGTTTTTTTGGGGGGAACCTAACCCATCAGTTTCTCCAGGGATACCCGTGCTAGGCGGTGGTACACAGGGGTGTTGGTGGTATGGCCGACACACACGTATCACTCACCAACACGTCATGGGTTCTAGTCCTGACCCGAGACACACGTGAGAGGAGCGTTAACTAGTGTTTCCTCCTATACTAACACTGGACGATAATGTAAGCTAGTAAGTAGAAAAATGATATACCCCGTATTAAAATAAGTAAACACAAAATACTGCACTTCTACTCTTTCTTTAAATGACACAACTGATCAGGCATTGCTTTCAATACCAACAGTGGAAATGTACACAGGATTGTGAATAATGTAAATGCCCAAGACATTCCAACAAAATCAATAATGCATCCTGCAAATGCTGCAAAACTGAGCTTACCAGCAATCTCTATGGAGGCGAGAGCATTATAATGACTGGCTTGTGTCTCCTTGCTGCACTGTCTACTGATCTGCATCATGAGGGTGAATGAAGCGGTAGATACCACTCCACTGCTGTAGCTTAATAAACACATACCTCCTACACCTAGTTGATGCAAAACAAACACATTCTTTAGAAAACCAAACTCGTCTAAAACAATTACCACAAAACTATGAATCATAATAGCAAATAATCTATACAAAGAATATTGTATTAATAAAGTTTTAACATTAGCATTTGGTTTTGCTAAAAGTATTCCCCCATAGAATGACCCCAGTATTGAGAGACCCTGACACACTGTTCCATTCCAAAAGGCTAATGTTTGTTTGGATATTCCCTTGTCCAGGAGAAACAATGGCATGTTATTAATGGCTCCTCTCTCACCCATCTTATACAACACAACGTAAACACTTAACCACAATGTTCCTGGTGTGTGAACGACTTCCTTCAAAATATCACGTATCTGTTTAGCTCGTGATTCGCCCGGGCTTCGGAGAGACGTTTCTGTCGTTGGCTTGTGACGCGCACGTTCCTCAATATGATATAAAGGTTGATCTTGTGACTGTGTGTGTTTGGTCGCAGTTCCCCGTTGGATCTCTGGGCTAGGTTGACTCACTGGGATATTTTTCTCCACTGACAGACAAGAGGCAAAGGCAGCAGTAAAGAAATATACAAGAGCCAACATGATGAAGGTGACAGTCCAACTTGTAAAGGCTAAGAGGTAGGTGAGTCCTGCCCCTCCTATAAGGCTGCCCACCTTGTACAACACTACCTAGAAAATAACAATACTTAATTATTCTTCCCACATTATCCTCTAACAACATAAGAAACTATAATAATTCAAGTCTAATAACCTCACATCTTTCATAATAGGTTGAAGTATAATGTAAGATTAAGCATCGTTGAAGAAATATGTGCTTAATCATTATTTGTATTAGGTTGAATTACAAACGCTGATTTTTGCCATAGATGCTTTCCAAAAACCTGCGACATTACTCAAGACACAATATTCCCAGGATATATTTAGTCACCCTAATGCTACCCACTTCAAGAAAACTTCATACAGTGGAGCCTCTCATTAACACGAACCAGAGCTACTAAGGTAAAGATTTATATGACATGTTAGAGTGGTCCTGTAAATGACATTAAAGTACTGTGCAGGTTTAAATGAAGTTATTTTTCAAGACATTCAATATAAAAATACAACAATATAACATGCAGGAATATAGTAACCCCAATATAACTCACTAGAGACACTAACCTGCACAGTGTTACCTAGGCCAAGCTGTTCATCAGGGAGTACTTGTAGAGCCAGGCCGTCAACTGCTACATCTTGTATGGCTGAGAATATGTTCAGGGCCAGCAACATACATCCTATCCCCATCACATCGGCTGGTGCCGTGAATGAACCTGTCAGATAGATTTGATAGATTGATAGACAGATAGACAGATTAGATAGATATGGTATTGATTGATAGATATTTATACAGTAAAATCATCATATGAGTTTATATTGTTTCAGCATGTACTATATATCCGATAGAATAAAGAAAGCTTAAGGTTATAGTCTAGTCTTTGTGTTTTGTAGCTCACTTGCTGCCTGTAGGTCAAAATACGAAACAGTTTGGCACACACACACATACACACACCTACTTTTATCCTCTTCCCCACTGATCGGCTCGTTAGTCAATTGGGCGATCGGTCACGTCTCTGTTATGCACTTTTGGCAAGTACTGGGCATGCACCGGTTCCTGAATGTACCTGAACCCGCTCCAGTGTTGGTTAAGTCTGGTCTTGAAACAACTCACACTCGGTGCCGTCACAACACTCTCTGGTAGCTTGTTCCAAGAGTTCACAACTCTCACTCCGAAAAAGTTTGCCCTCACAGTTTTCTGGACTTGTGGCTTCTTCAACCTAGAGCTGTGACCCCTTGTGGAGCGAGCGTCCGTCAGCTCCAGGTAAGGACACTCGACTGAGTAGTGCCCCCTTAGATGCTTATACACCTCAATTAGGTCGCCCCTTGCCCGTCTGTAGTATAAGCTAGGCAAGTTTAGGCACTCCAATCTCCCAGGGCAGTTGAGGTGCCAAAGTGCAGGCACCAGTCTGGTGGCCCTCCTTTGAACATTTTCAATCAACACGCACACACACACTTGAGTACATAATATATACCTGAACAAGCAGACACCCCAAGAGCCAGGAGGGAGATGAGAAGCCAGCGACGCCTCCCACCCCACACCTCCACCAGGGGCGCCAATAACCCCTTGGCTACCCATGGCACTAACAGCACCTTCAGCAGCGACACACTGAAAAAAATAAACCTTATCAGACACATGTAGTAGGAGATAACTGGGGAATCTTCAGACTCGTTTTACCAGGGAGGAAAGCTTCAGTATCCTCTCTCTTAGTGATGCTGTTGTAATATGGTCACCAATATGATTTTCCTATTTCATGATGTAATCTATCTACCACTATAGTCCCATCCTGTTAGTATTTATTTGACTCTTATTACCTCCCCTTTGCATACATGGTACAATAAACCCCCGACATAACGGACTAATTGGAGGGGGGAGTCTAGTCCGTTAAAGCTGAGAGTCCGTTAAATCTGGATTCTGAATAATAACGTACTCAGTTTGTTATATACCAACATAGTCCTAAGTAACCACATGGATCACTTTTCACCACCAACACTCACAATCACTTATAAAAGGAATATTAGTCTTGTGAATTTCCAAATACTACATAAATAAAATACTTGGGCGCTGATGTAACAAATGTAGTTTTCTTCTTAATAACTCTATCACTCAAAATACCTTCCTAACCTAACCTAACCAAGCTTCCAAGGTTCTGTATATATGTGTAATGAGGTCTAATCCCCCCCCCTCCAACATTCCAAAGGTTCACAAGTAATGTAAATACTGTAACCTCAATAAATGTTGTCTATGAGTTACAGTGACACATAACAGAAGGTACCACAAGCTCAAGGGATATATGATCGAGGCTTTCTGGTCACTAAATTCATTAACATCGGAAGCATCTCATGGGAAAATTAATACAGTATTCTCTTTATTTGATTTTACAGTCGACGTAATCATAAATCAACAGAATCAGCCGAGAAATTACCACTAGAGGAAAAGAGTCAGTTTAATATTCATGTACAGAAAGCCAGATGCTACACACAGATCAGTCGGAACAGAATTTAATAATACAGGGTGTAATAAAATGGTGTATGACCTATGAGACACCCTGTACAGTCCACGAACCTTGAATACTTTAAGCCGTGTGATCGAAGCTGGACAGGAATAAATTTATCCTGAAGGCCATAGGGGATCCCCTGGACTAGGTACAGCCATCCTAAAGAGGCAAGAGGCAGGAGGTTCTTCACTTGTCTCAATGATGACATGTTATTCCTGTAAGTTGTTCCAGAAGTGACAATCATCTTATTTAATATGATGCCAAAAAATAATGGATCATCTAGATTAGTCCCAAAATTATTCTACATAAAGATTAAACACTAATCCTAACCTAACATAACCTAACTTAAGCTAATCTAACAAAACCTAACATAATCTTAACATCAATCACCCTAATCTAATCACCCTAGGCATCGTCAGTCTTTAATCATCTGGTGAAACAAGTTGTGGGGAGGTTTAATTTTCAGGTGATCCAAAAGAATTAATAACTAAAGAAACTCTGTAACATTTTTTCCCAAACACAAGATACATAGAGATACATACCACCTGTAGAAGCCTCGAGGGATACAGAGATGTGTACAGTATTGTAGTGATTTAGAGGAGAAAACATCAATTGGCAGCTTCAACTTTAATCAACAGAGTAACCATCTCATCCCTGTAATAGAATGTGTATTTAAATAACATAAAAGTTCACTAGTTACAGGTACTATATGATATACAGTACAGTACATGTATTAATAATGTAGGAAATAAAGTTAACGTCAGAGAAACAGACTTACTCGTGGCCTTTCATCGTGAGACCTTTCCAAATTATACACCAAGTCTAGAATAATAATATCAATTGAAGGGATGATATAACAGGTGATTATACGTACTGTTATACCAGGGGAAGAAGGCCAGCCTAACCTTACCTTAACAAACCAACCAAAGAAACCTACCTTACCTGACCTTACCTAACCTAATCAACCAAAGAAACCTGCCTATCCTGACCTTACCTAGCCTAATCAACCAAAGAAACCTACCTGACCTTACCTAACCTAATCAACCAAAGAAACCTACCTGACCTATCACAGTTGAGGTTGTCCTGGTGATGTAGCTTCTTCTATAGGCCTAATACGCTCCTCATATAGGCCTAACACTGCACGCTCCTCCTATAAGCCTAATACTGCACGCTCCTCCTATAGGCTTAATACTGTACGCTCCTATAGGCCTAATATGCTCCTCCTATAAGCCTAATACTGCACGCTCCTCCTATAGGCCTAATACTGCACGCTCCTATAGGCTTAATACTGTACGCTCCTGTAGGCCTAATACGCTCCTCATATAGGCCTAATGCACTCATGTTAACGCACAAATATCCACCATTATAATATATTACCATCCTTTAATAAATATGATCCTTAGGCATAATTTATAGATCAATATATATAACAATCATGAAAAATAAGAACAAGTTACCTGGGCATAAGCGACTCGCATAATTACGTCATATCAACATTACTAAATAAGGAATATCATGAACGAAATAATATAATATAAATCAATACTATACCATTCTTCTATGACAACAATATTAAGCTGACAAGACTTCCAACAGTAACAACAGGAGGAAAATTAAAGTTGTCAGTCACCATCCCCAGAACACACCTGCCGGGGGAATCACCTCTTAATTACGCAAATAAACAAGTATTATACAGAAAATAACATACAAATTATTACCAACATTACCATTCTTCCCTGACAACATTAATTACCAAGACAAAACACAGTGACAATAGTTGGAAAAAAAATAATTATCATATTACACGAACCCGAAATCACTTGCCGGGAATCACCTATAAAATCCTATATTACCCAAAAAATATAGGTCATATCATAACCAAAGTAACATATAATATACCTTTCTTCCCTCACGTTTATATTAAGTTACTATGACGGACAATAGAGATAACAGGAGGAAACAATAATGGAGTTTGCTTTCACTCCTATACCCGAGTCCTTGGCGAGAATCCTTCCATAATCTTAACTGAAATCAATGTTCTATTTCTTATTTATTTATTGAGTTTATCTTATTTTATTATAATATTAATCATACATATATTGATCTCCCTAAAATATGAAAATAAAACTATTATGGAATAAATTAACACAAATATGAAGTGCCTATTAACATACATTATTTATATTTTAAAGGTATATTTCCTAACTTTTTTTATGATTTGAAAAGTTTAATATTCAAATTATATGTATTTTTATGAGTGGAATACATCATAAAATAAATATTCAGCAAAAACTAAGAACTTACAATCTTATATAATGTTTTCGTATTTCAGGAACCTTCAGTCACTATACATATATTAGCATTTATCTATCTATCAACCTATCTATTATAACTGTCATTCATATCCAGATATCTATATATTTATAACCACTTACCTATCTAATTATATATTTCTATATCAACCTATGCAGCAATGACTACCTACTTAGGGCTCCTTAGTCTGTTACATTTCAGTCATCCTCAATCTGTTTTACATTTGTTTCATCTTTTTATTCATATATCTATCTACTTATATATCTACCAAACTATCTAAATCTATCCTTATATCTATCTACCCATTTATCTTTCTGTCATTCTATATCTGAATTCCAGTTGCTCAGGTGAATGCTGCTTCCTTATTTAACTTGAAGAGGCGTGACAGATAACCAACAGCGGGGTGCTCGACCTGTAGGAGCCCAGAAATATCCCAGCCAATTATACCTCAACACCTCAGTGAAAGTTAACATTAAATAGGAGTTAAAGTGACTATATAATCAGTTAAGATGAAGACTATCACCTGTACCGCACCTGTTAACATTGCTGTAATTAAGTACTGTAAGTATTATGTTTTAAACAATAATAAAACTTCTATTGGCTATGTTAAGGTATAATAAGTTAATTTTAAATACTATAATACCATTTAATATTCCTATGGTGTTTGTATGTTTAAATAAATTTGATCTTTTATGGTGATTTTACTGAAGAAATACCTAACTAATCGCTCATTTCCTGTTACCTATTTCCCTTCACTATGTTGTAATTATATTAAGATGACGTGAAGAATATCCACCCCAGCTTATTTTACCTAAAGATTAACCTCCCTAACCTAACCTAACCAATCCTAACCTAACCTAGCCTAACCTAACCTAGCCTAATCCTAACCTAACTCAACTCTTCTCCCCCAAATCGTGTTAGGAGAGTTAATCTTTAGGTGTAATAAACTGGGGTAGAGATTCTTCAGGTGATTTACATTTTACCAATGTTGATCCGTGGAATAAGTGTAATATTTTTTCTCGGGGAATTTGTTATGCTAATGGACAAATCTTCATAATTTAATTCATTATTTTATTGTTTATTAACTTATGGTACTCATTTACTTATTTACATATTTGCATTTTCTCGACCCTAAACAATTGTGGAAATGGTCAGCCAGGAATGAATCACCAATTATCTGTTATTTTTTATTCGTTGGAGTCATTCGTACCTCAAGCAAATTAAATCAAACTAACCACGGATGCACGGAGGAAAAAAGAGCATCATAATACTAATGCTGTTGTTGCCCCAAGCCAAATAAAACATTTTTCAGGATCATGTGAAGATTACCAGTGGCCCTCATAACTTATTTCACCTGATGATTAAATACACTAATGCTGTATGGGAAGGTTACGTTAGGTTACGTTAGGTACATCAGTATTATCCCTTGCGAAATGCTATAATCGAATTCCATAAAACTTAATGAAAAATATTAATTCGATCTCATGGTGGACATTTTACACCTCTACCTGCGAGTATATTATTAGTATGAGGTGTAGGATTATATATAAATATCCTTAAAGAAACCTTCCAGTACTTCTATTATCCTAAACTGGCCAAGTTGAACAATAAATATTTGATAATGTGAAGCTTAGAAACCCCAGCTTATTTCACCTGAATATTAACCATCCTAACTTGACCTAACTACACCAGGTAGGTTTGCGCCGTTTAATCTTCCGGTAGTATAAGCTGGGGTGCTTAATCTCCAGGTGGTATAAAATAGGGTGTGTAATGTTCAGTTGATCCAAGAGGTGATACACTCCCCTACCTGATAACACAGACAATCTCCTCATATTTCAGGGGGAAAACGAGATGAGAAGATCATACTGCCTCTGAACGACTCCATCAGCTTCACTCTTAACCAAGATGAGATGTGTGCGAGGACGACTGTGGCCGTCTCACCATCGTTTACCGAAGATAGATTTTGGCTGAATGGCAAGTGAGTCCTACAGTGATAGACCACCAATGACATTTCTATGAATTTATGTTGTATTAAATTCCTATTATAGTTTTAAAAATTACTGTATTTAATATCCATAATACATACACTGTACTTCATAGTTTTAGTCTCTCTGATACATTGATGGACTCTCGGTGATGACCATTTAAGATTCCAGAATTCCCCAACATAATTTGCCCCACCAGTGTTTGTCATCTTCTCGTCCAACATTGGGGCGATCACTTTATGAAATCAACCCTGAGAATTTTCTACAAGGTTCCTAGACATGTTAGATAGTAAATATACAATACCCCGGTAATTGAGGACATACTAGACAATTTTTGTAAGTTTTATAAATACCTATTTGACTGCATCTAGTTGTGATGGCTTCAGTGTTATGTTTTCCCTGTACATTGTATGACATATTGAGACTCCTTAGCATTTCTTCAGAGATAAATATTGTATGTATTTCAGATTATTATTCTAACTGAGAATTCTTCATTTCAGGGAAGAATCACTCGAAAATCCAAGGATACAAAACTGCCTGAAAGAAAGTAAGTTACAGATTTAGTTACATAAAATGATGAACCCAGTACAGGTACAGTCACACCAAAAAGTGTCTTTACGATATTGTGTGGGACAATATGGCACAACGGACGAAGGATTTTGACGACCCTATCCAAAACAACGGGAATCTGTATTAATTGATTTACACTCTGGACGTCCTCTGGGCCTGTTATTTAAAAATTCATTAAAGACCTGGATTGATGATAAATTCTTTCACTGTATAGAAAAGATATCAAGAACATATATAATTTATTATTATATTTGTTGTATTTTTATTATGCCATACTGTATTATCAACAACATATATTTAAGTTCATACTGTAGTGTTTTATTTGCTGTATTTTTATTACTGGTATACAGTATTGTATTATCAAGAGCGTATATTTCAGTTCGCCGCCGAGCTTCAAAACGTAAGTTGGAAGGCTCTATTGAAGACATCTTGAACTGGCACGTACACATCTGTTCTGTCAACAACTTCCCCACAGCTGCTGGTCTGGCTTCATCTGCTGCTGGCTACGCTTGTCTGGGTGAGTCAATGATGCAAATATTTAAGTAATTTTTAAGGTTTTGTGAGTTACTGGTAAGTCTAATTCTCCTTGAAGCTGCAGCGGCTGAGCACTCTCCCACTGGTTGAACCCAGAGCAGCCTAATGTGAGCCAGCTTTTAAGGGGTACTGGTATGACTACTGTGTAAGTAGTTGGGGGAATGAAGGTGATCAGGAGTGCCAGTCATATTACCAAGAGACAAGTGTTCATTGACTCAAAAATTTGATAGATAATGCAGGTATTCCTTATTGACGCATTAACCCCTCTCTACAGTGTATGCCCTCGGACAAGTTTATGGCGTCGAGGGCGATTTATCCTCAATTGCTCGTCAAGGATCGGGCAGTGCTTGTCGGAGTATTTATGGAGGTCTCGTAAGATGGTACAAGGGAGAACTGGACGATGGTACCGACTCTGTGGCACAACCCATCGCTCCTCCTGATCACTTCCCCAACCTGAGAATTATTATATGTGTGGTAAGTTGTATAAGCTGTTTAAAATCCTTCTTTTTAATCTTTGTATTTTTTTTCTCTTTCTCTTGGTCGGTAGGGAGTTAGGGACACTTAGGAGATCTGCAGCTAAAATTATGCATCACTGACCTATACATAAGCAAAACCTGTCTTCCACTTTGTATATAAATGCGTTAATTTGAATGATAAAAACACTCCATAAATAAAAATATGAAGATTATTAACAAGCAAATAAAAGTACAGTATGTATGAGTATAGACAGGAGGTACAGTACAGCAGTCAGGGGTTAATGTCTCCCCAGGTCAGATGTGAGTAGGGTGTTATCCAGTTATCCTACCAAACATCACAGGTTATCTCTGGGTATTCTGCTTTCCTCCTATACAGTACTAACTTATTAACACTGGACAATAAAGGTCATGACGGTAACAAGAAACAGACCGACTGCCTGAATGGTTAGTAAGCTGATAAATAGTGGAAATGACCAGTTAAAAGATAGTCATAATTTTTTCCATTTTGGCCAGCCCCTAATTTACTGTGGTTCAAGATTGATGAAATTACAAGGAACATAAACTGTCCTTCATTGATTGACAGTCATTCATTGTATAAGTATACCTCAGTTTAAAATAGAGATGCATTCCTAAACACCATATCATAAACCAAAGATTTTTAAATTGATTCGTTTTTATCCATTACCATTATTAATTAGATGTTTGGTATGTACCTTCAAAAATAAAAACTTCTTCAACACATAACAAAACAGATGGGTTGCATTATTGGAACCCTCTTATAAGTCGTGTACACTAAGCGTCTTATTAATTTTCAGGCAAACGCTGGTCGTAAGAAGACAGGCAGTACAGATGGCATGAGACAAACGGTTCAGACTTCACGGCTAATGGAGTATCGCGTCAAAGAATCCGTCGTCACAAGAACAGAAGCCATGATGGAGGTATATGCTTCTATGTCCCGAGTGATTGACGATTTCCGCTTTTGCTTCCTACATCTGGAGGATCACGTGAAGATCAGGCACCCAAGCTTATCTCACCTGATGATTAAACACCTTAACTCTACTAGGGGGGAGTTAGGTTAGCATAAGGGTGTTTAATCATCTGGTAAAATAAGCCGAGGTGCCTGATCTTCATCCTTTCATCTATTCTACCGTTCATTATTTGCCAGTTTTTAGCTAATCACTTCACTAAGATCATTCATTCTGTACAAGAATAAAAAATAACTGCTTGTTAAATTATATATTAAGAATTACTGTTACTATGAATGTATTAAATTAGTCAGGTCCCTCTTATATTTATTTCTACTTCCAGGCAATTCAAGATAAGAACTGGTCAACGTTTTGTGACCTCACTATTGCCGACAGTAATGAGATGCATGCTGTTTGTCTTGACACTTTCCCTCCCTGTGTGTACATGACGGACACCTCACATGCTGTAGCCAGCCTTGTACACCAGTATAATGAAGTCAAGATTGCTCGAGGTGACTTAAACCATAAGGTATGAATTAGTGTAAGTTTAATCCAATATTTCTGTTGGTATTATGTGTGTGTGTGTGTGTGCGTGTGTGTGGAAATTTAACCAGGATTATGGCAGTTACTTTCTTTTGTAGAACATTATCATTTAATTTATTCCATATTGTCCTTTTTAATTACGACTCATAAACAAAATTATATCAACACATAAACCTCAAATAGGCTTTACAAATTTTAAATGTGATTCATAGCTTATACCAAAAACATTGAGGTGAGACCCTGTTAAGCTTGGTACAGTATGTAAAAATAACACGTAAGGGATCACCTAAACACCCCACTTTCTTTCTCCCGATGATTCAACAACCTATTGCCAACTGAGATGGGTAGGTTAGTATTGGGGAGCTTAATCATCAAGTGAAAATAAGTTGAGGTGTCTAATCTTCAGGTGATTCTACTTGAGACTAATCCCTATATAATTTAAATGGTATTCAGTGGTAGAGATAAACCTATGTGTCACTCGCCCTCTCAGGTTTGCTACACATTTGACGCCGGACCAAATGCTTGTTTATTTGTGCCCGGAGCCGTCGTGAAGGAGGTATTGGCCTTGTTACTTCGCACCTTTCCTCCAGGTCCCTCACAGAGTCCAACTGAGTACGTCAAGGGCATCCCAGCTCAGTCGGCTACTTTATCGAAGGTATATGTGTGGCAAGGGTATATTAAAATCTCCTGTGTGTGTCTGTTTATATGTTTGTGGTATTTAGTTTCAAATACCAAACCATGCATCCCCAGTCTTCAGCAAGGTGACACATCAATGGATACTTCCAATAACCGCACTTCTCTGATCTCTCTTGTAATTTATATCTATTAAAAAATATACACATTACCAGGATATAATTTCCTTTCAAGGGGAGAAATAATACATTGTAACATGTCCTATACATATTGTCTTTTTTTTTCCCAGGAGTTGATGTCACTGGGAGATGAGGACTTTGAAGGAGGAAGACTGAAATACTTGATACACACCAGAGTGGGTGATGGACCAAGACTGATGCTGGATGCTGAATCTAGCCTCTTGGACCATACAACAGGTGTGCCCAAACCAACTAATGGTACTGCCTAGTGTTGGATGAGTACGAGGAAGATGTGGAGTCCGATGAGTACAAGTATGATATGGAGTCCGTGCTCAAGGTTCCTGTCTGAATGTAAGCAGAAATTCATAACTGTTTCATCGCGACTAAAGTAATTATATAAAATAAAGTCAGCTTATACCTATAACATGAACTAAAATTATCTATCATTGAGGGAATATTTATCTATAATTCCTTAGGACTTTTATATTAATTTATTGTTTTAACCGATGAAGTACTGAATAATGAGGATAATTTATTAATCATAAAAAAAATAAATAGAATCATAAAACAAACAAATCGGGAAAAATAAGAGAATGGCACGATTGTGTAAACAGACTCTATATGTTTTATTGTACAAGTTGAAAATGTCGCTGTCTTAATATGCAACGTGTATACAAATAATAGCAATGTTTTTTTATACGTATTTATGTGTTTGTTTACGAGAATCTCATAACATTACAAGAGTATAAAACTGTATCTTGTTCGTGTAAGAGTTTGATGAGTCATTCACTAGAACACAATCAAACTCACTCTTCCATTATACTTAGAAACTGTGACCTGACCTGAAGCATTGCCACCATCTGATAACCCTCTGCTAACCTAACCTAATCTAACCTAACTTGATGTAACTTAACACTGATCTAACCTAACTTAATGAAACTTAACACTGATCTTAACCTAACACTAACCAAACCTGTAAATTTTTGTCTGTTCATTGATAAACAAACTTCAATGCGACACCGAGTTAATTTTCGTTTTTAATCGGACTCCGATGTACTCATGAGATTTGGCTATGGAAATTTAACACATTACCCCTCCCCCCTTTAAAGGAATCGTCCCCTCCCCCCTTAAAGAATCCTGTGTCTTCCCTACAATGACTATTACATCACCCTGACTTGAGGACCTTAGGCCAAAGATACACGTAGCCTAAGGTACTGTCGTTATCCATCCACAATCAAAATAAAATCATTGTTTACAAGTACAGTAACCCCCGCCCCCCCCAAAGTTCATCTGAAAACTATCCTCCAGATCACTATAAGCTTAGCCCCCTGGAACACTATAAGCTTACCCCCCTAGATCACTATAAGCTTAGCCCCAAGTTCACCTGAAGATTAGCTCCCAGAACACCGAAACATTAGACCTCAGATTATTTCACCTTATTCTTAAATGCCCTAATGTTACCTTTGGGGGGTTAGATTAGGTTAAATTGGTTGGTAAAATAAGCTGGGGGAAGGGGTAAAATAAGCTGGGGGTAGGGGGTTCATTTTTAGGTGATTGGGAGCTTTATAATTTTTTGCATATGATTTTTTCTCAATGATTATAAACTATTTTTGTATATTTTATCCTGATGAGGTATAATAAATTAATAATGTACAAAATACCACATAATTCATTGTGCCTTAAATGAGGTGCTAATGGGTCAACACCTCTCTCAAGTATAATGGGCCTGATGATTGTTTAATGGGCCTTATGATGGTTTAATGGGCCTTATGATTGTTTAATGGGCCTTTTGATGGTTTAAAGGGCCTTATGATGGTTTAAATGAGTCTTATATTTTACTATGAAGTTTTATAATCAATGGTGGTAATAGAGTTTATATGTATTTAACCATAGAAATATTTTATATAATTTTTATTAAATATGAAAGACACAGACATCCATTCTTATTGCCACTTCCTATAGAGAAACTTTTGAATATCCCGACTACTAGTATAAATGTGTTGTAATTAGCCACTACAAAACCATTTATTTAGTGTTGTAATAAACTGCGAACGGTAAAATACTGAGGTCACCTGAAAATTACTTCCAAATTATTTAACCTTGAGATTAAATATCCTAACATTAACCTAACCTAATTAACCCTAACCAAATTATTCTTAGGTGTTTAATCATCAGGTGAAATAAGCTGGGGGGGGGGAGGTTAACAAATTACTATATGTAATTAATATGCTTCCATATATTCCATTAGACTTGCTACAGATGGAGTAAAACTGAAGAGCCTTATAGCGCACACATACACACACACGCACACTATTGCAGAGCTGCCTTATACTCAGTGGCTTCTATATCCTGTTTATAGAACATGTGTACCAGTTATGTAGTGGTGAATGAGACCAAGAACGAGATTTGTTGTAATTTTACCCTTAATGTAGCACCTTAAAAATCGCCCCTTACCTAAGTGGTCAACCGAAAGAGTCACCCCTTCCCCCTGAAACTATCTAAGGGAGGGGAAGAGGGTAAGGGGGATAATCTTCAGGTCTTGGTATCAAATACATTACCGATCTGTAGCTGCCATTTTGACCTCTCACACACTCAAGAATATATCAAGAATTATTTAATATTCTTTAGTAATCTTTATATGCCGAGTTTGTGCTGAATATATAAGGTCATTCTTTTATTCTTAAACCCTAATAGATTATTATTTTTAGGACGTGGTGAAGAAAACAAATTATTCAATGACTTATACACTAATTTGTGACTTTGGAAATATTGGACAGTTTTACGTGACAAATATACAGGGTGTTTCAAAATAATGTCTCCACAACTATGCTGGGTGTCTCAAAATAATGTCTCCTCAACAACTATACAGGGTGTTTCAAAAGAAAATACAAGTTAAACAATACCGTTACCAATATTATGACCAAATAATGTAAAAATAATGTCATTGTATTTAATGTGTGAACATAATAATACCATGAAGTCGCCTAGGTTGTGATCATCATTATAATCAACATTTAAATACCATTATAGTACTTAATATAACAAGGTCCTATAATAACAGTGATCTATGATAATTATGCCTATTAGTTTTAAGATCATTACTGTAGAATTTATTTAAAAACAATGTTCTTTAATGTATTTATTTAGTGCTTGGTGATAATTATTTATTATTTTGTATTCTGTATGTATTTATAATGACTAACTTCTGTAATAGGGTCAATACAAAGTTCAGCATTCCTTCTTTTACAGTAGTCACTCTATATACAGCACAGAAATATATAGTACAGGTATATAGAGTACAGGTATATACAGTACAGGTATATACAGTACAGGTATATACAGTACAGGTATATATAGAGTACTATACCTATATCTTAACCCCATTAGGTGATCACATATAACCCAATTGTGTCATATGTTTATAAATCTTTGCAATATTAATAGAAGACCTTTGGGTTGTCTTATATAAAGTATTATCAAGTTCAAAATATTTAAATCCTCAGAAAAAAGTTCACAGGTATTTGACAAATTAATCATGATGTACTGGAACCTTTTGGTCTTGATTCACGTAGGTTATTTGTACGTGTAGGTTGTAGCGATGAAAGCCGTGGGTACTTTTTATCATTACAGTACTGGGTGGGTGTACGGCTTAGGTGAGATAGTCAGTTGTCTTCCATTTACAAGTACAGTATTTGATATATTTATTTAATTATATATATTATGCAAATCACCTTAAGAATCTCCATCTTTGATTATTTCGCCTTAAGATTAACCACCATAATGCTAAACTAACCTAACCTCATCCCACCCCAAATAGTGCTAGGGTGTTAGGTGAAATAATCCAGGGAGGAGATTTTGCAGGTGATCTGATACTGTTGTGTAGGTCTTGGCATCAGGGCATGAGGTGACATGTTAGTTTAATATTCAATAAAATAGAATATTGTAACTGGTTTTATTATAGTTTATTGTTATAAGAATTTTTAATGGTTGTGGGTAAATACTGAATTTATATGTAATGTAGTTTATTATTTATTGTTTTGTAGTTTAATAAATATTGAAGTAAATATTTAAGTGGTTATTATCCTTATATTTTAGGTGAAATGATTCATATTTTACATAACTATTGTAACTTTCACCCAGTTGATTACAGGTATGTCATAGTGCATGGTAGTTATGTGAGATGAAGGTCCACCTATGGTCCACTATGCCATACAAGGAGGGCCACCAGACTGTTGCCTGCACTACGGCACCTCAGTTACCCTGAGAGATTAGACAGAGTGCAATTGCCTAGCTTATACTACAGACGGGCAAGGGGTGACCTAATTGAGGTGTACTGTATAAGCATCTCGGGGGGCACTACTCAGTTGAGTGCCCTTACCTGGAGCTGGCGGACGCTCGCCCCACAAGGGGTCACAGCTCTAGGTTGAGGAAGCCACAAGTCCAGAAAACTATGAGGGCAAACTTTTTCGGAGTGAGAGTTGTGATCTCTTGGAACAAGCTACCAGAGAGTGTTGTGACGGCACCGAGTGTGAGTTGTTTCAAGACCAGACTTGACCGATACTGGAGCAGGTTCATATACATTCAGGAGCCAGTACATGCCCAGTACTTACCAACAGTGCCTAACAGAGACGTGACCGATCGCCCAAGCGACTAACGAGCCGATCAGTGGTGAAGAGGATAAATGCAAATTAAGTAAGTGATGTCACACACCATCACCAAGCTCTCCATGATATCATGCAAGGTAAATAAAAGGAAATACAGTACATCTTCACACACACAGGGTGGTAGACCTATGGACCAGTCTACCAGCTCAAGCTGTGGAAGTGAGAACAGTAATGGGCTTCAAAATAACCATTGACAAGACTATCAGCGCTGTATGTAGACCATTGAAGAGATGCAACACAGGCCACTGACCTCCCTCCTTCAGCATGGCCATCTCTAGGTTGGGTGACCATTAGGTAAATAGTGAGCTAATCTTATCACTGGCCTGTTGGTCTAGTGGTATGATTCTCGCTTAGGGTGCGAGAGGTCCCGGGTTCAACTCCCGGACAGGCCCACCATGATTTTGAATTAAAAAAGTGGAAAATTGTGTGTATAGTTCAACGTATACTTAGTGCGGTATGTGCCCAAGAGGCTACCATCCAGGTCAGTGGCCAAGATAATGATACACTGGTGATAGGAAGGGGATTGGGGTGGGGTTAAATAACGGAACTTACGGATTAAAACAAATGTTAGAACGTTCCAAGTTGTCATAGAGGCAAAAATTGGGGGAACCTTAAGAGGTTATTAGTGATAAAACGCCATAAAATATTAAACTAACATACACTTTACCAAACAACCCGAATTTAACCTAATATTAACCAGAAATTATATTAACCTGACAATATATTAACCTAACATAGCCTTAACCTTATGTTTGGTAGGGTCACACTCGATAACACCCTTCTCACGTGTGTCGGGGCAAGCAGGACCCGAACCCATGACATACCCATGAGATATACGCGCGCTGTATTCCGTGCTCTAGTGGGTTCTGGAACTTTTGCTTGATACAGTATGATTTGTTCTACTTTAATTTAACATTCAAGCAAGCTAGAAAGTTTGGGGCGAAAGATACATCAACAAACGTTTGAACAATTCGTTGTCTAATGTAAATACCAAGAATTAATAACTTACTTTAGTCAGTCCTATCGCGTAATTTTCATTTTCTCTTATTACTTTATTTATACACATACCATAGCATAGTTTTTATTAAAGATACCCGTCAAAAATCAGCTTGGAAATATTCGATAAAACCATAAATGTCATCTACCAGTATTAGAGAAAGATATTGATACTTATTCTTTGTTTACATTACATGATGAATTTGCAGTATTACCAACCCCGAGAGATTACTTATCGGTCTCTCGCAACTAACACATTTATCATCTTATTTTCCACTTTTTTTTTATCTATCTCTTTATTAAATTTGTCCAGAATGTTATCTATTCTCGATAATTTAAATACCGTATGTTAATGAGTGCAATATTTCTCAACACAAGTGCTGGGATTTCAACACATTTATCAACGAATTCAAATAGGACAAAGGTCAAATGGGTTCCTGTCGTAATAGGTCCCATCCTAAACTAAGTTCACCTTTAAGATCAGGACCAGTTCTTATGCCGCTTCTGTAGTTCTGTCTCAATAGGTCTCAGTCATAACAGGCCCATCGTAACAATTATTTCACCATCAAGATTACAGTTCCCTGAAAGTGTATCGGAAAGCTTGAGTATTAAGCGATATACTTAAAGCAGCCCTCTCCCCCTCCTCCCCTAATAAGTTTCTGGGTGTTGCTCTTAAGTACGGGGCGGTGTACACTGCTACTATTACTACTTGAAATTAATTACTCCTGAAGGCCGATAAACTGAGTCTACGTAACCAGGCACAACTTGAGGGTACAAGAAAACTTCACCATAGTGAGAGTAGCGTACCAAAAGTATCAAGGAATATCCAGATGGGACATTCCTTGAGAAGTACATTCAATTTGTTACAAGCAAATAACATAGTAACTTCCCCATGACAGGGCACTGACGCCTGATAGTGAGACAATCAAGGTAATAGTGTAGAGTAGTAGATGTGGGACTCATAAATCAATTTGAACTAGTGGTATGACGAGTTTACTACATAATATATATTTAGTGCAGGTACATGATATAAGAAAGCCAATTAATGTCAATTTTGTCATTCTAAGGGTTAATGGAGTCATTAAGATCACGATAATAATAAATTAATATTATTAATTATGGTTTGAAACTGAAAATCGAAGGCTGAAGAACGTTTTTAGCTATTTTAGTTCGCTACCTTACGATCGTTTGATTTGTAAAGCACAACTGACCCCAATGATCTGATAATCAAATCTCTCTATACATAGACAGTGTAGGTATATAAACAATGTACATAGACAACTTAAGTATACAAACAATGTACATAATAAGTGCAGGTATACAATGGTAAACAAAGTGAAGCGAGCAAATTAACCATTACATGTCCAGTTTTATTAAGCAAGTAAACCTAACTTATCCTTAGTACCAGAACATTTTTGACATATACTTAACTTACCTTTGTGACTACCACAACTATTGCAGAAACAAATGCCGGAGTCATTAGCAAGGAAAATGGGCTGAACGATCACCGGCTCCACCACGGCTTCGTTTTCGCGCCTTCTGGGAGTGAAATCATTCATCTTAGGATATTACCACGAACATTAAATTATTATTACCTAATATCTTTTTTATAATTTTTTATGCTGTATTTTAATAGTTTTTATTTGTGTTTTATTTCTATAAAATTTGTGAAGATATTTATTCGCCAATTCTTTTATAAAATTGATAGATTTCAGTTTATCTCCCTAACATTCTAGAGCTCGTGTTAGGATATGTTTATTTCTTGTTATATTCGTAAAATAATAATTCCAGCAATGAAAAAAAATATATTATTGCAAATATTCACTAAGGTAAATATTTCTTTATCTTTGTGTTTGTGGAAGTGACAAGTGCTGGCAGCATTGTTTGGGTTTACAAAGAAATTAATGACAACAGATATGAAGATAATAGTTATAATACTGTATCAGTTATTTGTATTGTTAGAATTCTGAGGACGTCTGGAGGGACGATGTGGTTGGTGGAGGTGGTGGCAGTGTTATTTTGTAGGATCTAAAAATTTATAGGTATTATAAAAAAGATAATCGAGTTATTTGTATTGTTATGGAGTTTGTGGAGTGGATGGAGGGTGTGGTAGTGATGGAGGAAGTGTAATACTAATATTATCGTTGGTTATGTACATATCAATAAATAATTAAACAACACGATACTATTCGAGTAATGGTGTAGTGAATTTGTGGAGGTCTTGAGGGAGGGTGTGGTGGCATCAGTGTGGTTGGGGAGATGGAGGAGGTGTTGGTAACAGTGTAGTGGTGACTGGTGGTCGTCCATGTTGGCAGCCTCAACCCAGCCGCCCAGTGATCGTATATCAGTGTGTGTAGGAGGTTGTCACTCTCTTTACCGCCTTCCTCTACCTCGCTAACAAGTGGTTAACGGGCCCATACCGCCTCTAAATACGGGATTATGCAAGCCATCAAATGTGTCGTCGTGGGTGATGGGTAAGTTACATTTAAAGTGTGTTAAAAGTGGTGAAATATACAGGAGGCGAGTGTGGTGTAGTTATCAGGCCAGCGGCTGGGTGGGGAGAGGTACTGTACACTCAGCTAACATCCCTCCTCATCACTATTTACTGCCTTATACAACACCCTATTGAACTAGATATTACGGGGACTATGATATAATATTAAACTCTGGGTTAATACAGTGGCAAGCCTTACTGGGGTAATTATTGATGGTATTGCAACATTGAAGGAAATAATCACGTCCTCAAGTATGTGGAGATGAAGCTCAGAAGTAAACACGAAATTTTGGGGTCATTTAACCTTCAAACTACAATGGATGATAATGTAAATATTGAAAGTTTTAGTATTTTATCAACTACCTGACAATTTATTACCATTGTTTTTGTTATTATTTGCCGTCTTCCAATTTTAACTTACCATATCTTAAGTACTATATTGATTACCTTATTATTATTCGTTATATTTTACATTTTTGTTTAATGTTTAGATATTAAAAAATGTAACAAAAACAGTATTTATTCCATAAGTAACATTGGGGTGTGATTGTGTTCATTTATTTTAGAGAATTTACGTAAATGTTTGTAAATTCCTATAAATAAAAAATAATTACATTTAGACCATTAACACCGGTATTGGTATCTGCATAAGGCCATATTGATGATTGGTCTTTGCTGGTCAAGGATAAACTCGTTGCCACACAAAGGAATGATATATGTTATTGTATTATTGTAGCTGTAGTGTTGCCAGATCAGGTCCAGCACCAAAGAGTTAGTGATTGTCTCTATAAATCACACGCTAATTAACCAGATTCAACCAAACATCGATAAGAATAAACCATTTATGAAGGTAGATGCAACCAATAAATACATAACAATCAACCAAACTGATCATAGTAACATTCATTAA